CACTAGCGTTTAAGTGTTCGAACCCTGGTGTTACATGCTGTATCTAGAAGAGTCTTAACGTTACAGCTGTATATTCTGTTTCATATAGCCGTATCTGCTGACGTGCGACCTGACGCCGGCTTGGGTGTGCGGTGCGGATCACAAAGATCTACTTTTGTACATCTTGGAGCATGTATTAGTCAGAATTTAATGAGACCTTTTACTGCAAGTTCTTTCTCGAAGGCGAGTATCATTAAAAAGTGACTGCGTGACATTGCATTTGAAAGATAATCTTATCAGCTGGGCGGAGGGTCCTGTGTGCATTTATATGTCCCCGCCAAGTCTTGACGCCCTGATTACATGTAGGGGAACCCCTGGGAGCAAGTTAAAAAAATTGAGTAGAATTCCTGATCAATGGGAGCGATAGGATGAATTCAGATGGCGTTCAAGATGGCCGTCAATTCATTAATTGACTCCATAACTCGCACTATTTATGACTGAGAGGTTGATTTTGGTGTCTATCCCTATTTTTTATGCGTCAGGCTATCATTAAACTATACGCGTATCGAAATGCATTGCATAATTGTTATCTTAGATGAGCCCCGAACAGGGGACAGTATCATATAAACCTGCTATACTTCTCGCGACTTATGTATAGCAGGGTAATTTTCGTGTATATACCTTGTATTAGGGGCTCCAGGTTATCACTGAGACTAATACCCAGATTTAAAAGCCACGTGCCAATCACCATCAAGGGCTAAGAGTGGGCCACCAAATATGACCGTCATTTATTGCAACTTTTACAGTATTGCTATTTAAGACTGGCAGGATTTACCTGTATAATGATATTATTGTAGGTAACTTTAATCGTATCACTGTGTCCTTAGATAGCCAGTTTGGTTTCTGCATCATTGACTGTTCGTCTGGCGTATTTTGTAAAATTCGCAAGCACTTGGCCTTTTGTTGACACATCGCACTTGCTGCTAGACACTTCCCAGGAACACCAACTTGCAACATCGTCTAGGCAAAGCGTGAGATTAGAATCCTTCCTGACCAAAGCAAGCTATTGTAATTCCGAATCAAAGTCTGTAGGTTCAGAAGTAAGGCCACTCAACAGTTTCATTGACTATAGTGGACGTAAAGGCTCTGAGAATTGTCCTGTAGCTGCGTGCGCTAGTCGGTGGCAAGTCCGCAGGAACGGGTCACAGACTTTGCTGTGGTGGTATAGGACTATGTTCGTTTCAGTCCAATTTTTGTATAGTATGCGTGACGGGTCACCATTGTTTCACGACTCGTACCAGATATAGGTTCCGAATTAGCTAGATACAAATTGTCCAGTTTTCCCGAAGTGCACTGAGGTGTTGCTAGTTCGGGTCTCGCTTGACGGCTGCCATTTGGAGATGCAAATTTGCTTGTGATGTCAAATCAGTCAAGCTTGAAACGGCCGGCAGTACATCACATAATTCCGCCCTGTTTGCTGCCATTAAGGTCGTGCGGATGTACCTGATATGTTCCCCGTACACCCTGCTCTCATCCACAGTTCACCATACCATGCGGTTTTAAAGATCTTGGATGAACATGTACAACAGCACCAACACATCATGACTGTGTCATTGTACAGCACGACATATCCTCTTGACACGCTCTTGATGGATGAAAAAATGGGGCTGATTTCGACATCGTTACTTCAGAAAGTAGAATCGCGAGTTCATTGTTTCGTTTGTAATTCCCGAATGGCACTAACCTTGTCTGTAGTACACTGTGCTCCTTGCATTGTGGCTACTGCAATTTCACACCTAGGGACTCGCTGTAGGAACATTTTGGTCAATTCAGCAACCTAGTTCAGCTAGTTCCTCTAGTCTTAGCCTTTTGCTGCTGGCTGCAAGAAGCGCCTGTCCATTTCCTTTGGCAGTTTAGTCTAGGATTGAGATTACTGTACTCCGATCGCGTGGTCTCAGTGTCCTCCGTTTGTCGTTCATCGTGGTGCACTTCACTAGATCTGCGATGTAGGAATCGAAACAAAGTGCGATGCGGCTGCATTGACACTCAGAGCCAAGACGGTTTCAAGAATACCTCACAGAAATCTCCAGATGTTCTCAATGACGACGTTCTAATCTTTCTACAATGCCTTAACTCTACAAGTATTGCGTTGCTTTGCCGTAACTGAACGGAGCTTGGTAATCAGCCTGGTCAGTTCTTTTTCGAGTGTTCGTTTGCTCAGTTCAGACTTTGCAGGGTTTTCTTTTATAAGACCATCGGACTCGAATAGGTAACTGTGGAGCACCCGAGGTCGTTTGGAACACATGTATCGGGCGCGACATCACAGACGGCTACTCGAGCATATCTAACTTCTTCTGTTGACCCGAAATCCTTACCTTTCTGTTTGTGTTTGTATTTGCCTGGGTTTCTCTGTTTTTCGGGACAATGCGCCGCTTCACTGCAAGTCTTCAGTTCCGTTTTATGAATAACATCACTCCAGGCCCGCTTCGTTTTGTCTATTAGTCTATCCTTTCGACTATCTGTGGTATCTCAACACAGATTCTTGATTGTCACCAGTCCTTTCGAACATCATCAGGATTAATGCAGACGAGCGGACGCTAGTTGCAGCGTTGCTTTTTTTCTGCTATCTTTCGACAACTTTGACGGATTCTACGATCGGCGTCGGTAACCACATATGCCATCATGTCATCAACTTTTTGCTCACCCAGCTTCAGTCGATCCGTGGCTGAATTCATGGGTGACAAGTTACTCTGAATCGTATATTCTGACTCGCTCTTATCTCCCTAAACAGCGGTTAACGACATCATTTGATGGTGGAATTATATATCATTTCGTAACGGTTGATTGCTTCTTCCTGGTGCTACAATGAATCGGCAGCATGCTCTTTTGTAAGACGGTTTATCGTATTGCTGTTTAAGCACATGTCCATTGCAACGGCTGTGAATGGAGCTGCGAACGCTGATCACAAAAAGCCCTTCAAAGTCTTTATGAATAGCTGCGTGCCGTTCTAAGCCAGACTTTGATGTTCTGCCAGGTTAGGAACTCCGCAAAGGTTGAGTTGGTCGAATGTCATATGTCAGCGAAGTAGCAGGATAGCATCGACGTTTCCAGTGTAGTTGCAATTCCTTTCGATCAGCTCGCACCAAGGCTCTTTGCAATTGACACATCATGATGTTAGCAGTATGTAA